CTCTTGTCTACATGATCTGGTTTAAGCCAACCACGCAGAATATATTTTATATTTTTTCAGGTTTCGTGAAAGAAAGTTCCATCCGACAATGAACCTAACCAAGCGATTCTATCCCCACACTCATAATATGGATGGTTTCTTTGTCGCAAAACTAAAGAAATTTTCCAACAAGATACCAAATACAGGTAGGACTATATTTGATCCAAGGTACAAGCCTTGCAAAATAAACTGAGCAAATTTTGTATCACAAATTATACAAGATAAAATAATGTGGCCTACACTACTACTAGGCTAAAGTCTTAAAAAATTGTTGGCATCTCTAAATAATACTCTTAGCTTATTTTTGTAGTGCAGTATATAGGCTGTAAAGGGTTTTGGGTGTTAGGTAGGCCTTGATGTCTGTATATACAAGGTCAGCTTATAAACCACTATGGTACAGCTATTTCATTGAACTTCGAAGTGAAGGAACCTTGGTCTCCATTGCTCTCTGCATGGCTGTTTTTTTTAAATTTTTTTTTTAAATCAAATACTTAAAGCTTTATATTATAGATAATTAGAACTATTTTAGTAATTAAAATTGTATTGTAGGCAATATAATAATGTCCTTTATATCCAAATTAATTATTAAATGCATTAATTGACTGGTTCTTTTTAACCTTTTTACATTATATTTTATGAAAATAAGGAGTAATTTTCATGGCATTACTGTACATTACAATCTAAATCTAAATTATGAAACCCAACTTCATTAATTAATCATTATGAGGGTACAGTATTTATTTACTGAATATTAAATGACATATTATACTTAATTTTTAAAGCAATAGTGTCTTAAATGTTTTAATTTTTTTGTAGATGTGTCTACAGCTGTAGAGGCTAGTGAAGAAAAGGAAAAAGTTAATAAAGAAATCAAGTTGTCCAACTCAGAAAAACGATCCCCTGCAAGAAAAAGTAAATCTTCTAAAATAGGAACGCCTTCACCATCATTAAACCCTAATAATGATGATAAGAAACCTTCAGTTGGAAAGAAAACAAAAAGGGCAGCAGATAAATCAAAAGATGTACCTCCACCCAAGAAAATTAATAGGAAGTCTGATGGCAAGATAGATGAGAACATTATAAGTAACACAAATACTTTATCAAATGGTAAAAAGACACCTATTAAATCTAAGATTGTCTCCAAAGTTATGGTTAATGGCGGTTCAAATAAGAAGAAAACAGAAAATAGATTGACAACACCAACCCATGTAAACACAACTAAATTGATAATTTCTAGTGAAAAGGTACAAAAGGTTTCCAGTAAAAAGAAAAGTTTGAAAGCATCTGTTGAAGCGTCATCAGTAAAATCTAACCATACTGAAATGGAAACACCATTGGTATCTACTAAAGCAGATACCACTGTAAAAACACCACAAAGGTCAAAGACACCATCGGGCACAATGAGTGAGAAAAAAAAGCTGAAAGTTCAGCTCAAACGCATTTTGGAAAACAGAAGGAAATCAAAGGGTAATGGAATAGAATGATAGACAAGGACGTGAAATTTGAAATATAATGTGTATTTTAATATGAACATGGAGGCATCATTACAACCTTTTCATTGTTATTTTTTTTTTTTTTTGGGGAGGTGGGGTGGTGGTTGGATGTTCAGTTCTTTGGTGGAAGCGATTCTCCATAAACTGCTAGCAAGTCTGATTATGAGACTTCAAGAAAGGAGTTTAGTTGAGCATTCTTAACTATCAATCTACAGCTCAACATTTTTATTTTTAAAGCCAACAAAAAATGTGAGGTTGCACCACGAAATGAGATGCATCCTTGGTGAAATAATATTGAGATATTCACCAAAATATTTAATGTTTGATGATTTCGAATAAAAATAGAATTTTATTTCTGTCCAATTAGCACACCCGTCACCATGAAAAAGTAGAAATTGCTGGAATCTTTATTTTTATTACGCTCTCCGCTGCCTTGAAATATCCGAAGATAAGATATGTACTGTATATTTCTTCCTAATTATAGAAGGTTCAAGCATTTAACCATACTGTTTTACATTCACCAATAAAATTTTATTTTTATTTTCTCCTTTGTCTGGATGTTTTTGGCAAAACTATTTGCTAAATAAGAAAACAAAATTTTATTTTTATTCCGCCCTTCTCCCGTAATCTTTAAAGAAATAATTGGGGGGGTCCATCGTAGTGCTGTTCTCGGTAGCGAGGAAGGTGGCATGCGACAGACATGTCGTAACTCCAATGACGCATCTGGATTTCCTCTTGTACGGGCACTGTTTCTGTTTTGCTCCGGAGTTGTTCATTTGAAATGGTATTCGGCCAGTAGATTCTGATGATGCGCCGCAGGCATTTGATTTCGCCCTATGATACCTTTGTACCTTTTCACTAGAAAAATTCACTTTTTAAGTGAATTTTCTTTCTAAACAGCGTTTCGGCTCATATTCTGTAATTCTAGTCCTATTATTTGTACAGGTTAGTTAATTAAAGTTTATAATGTGATCTGCCCAAATATAATATAAACTCAATTCTTGATTTTCTGACCATGAAACTCATTTTGTAGTGAGACCTCACAAATGTGTTTTCCAAGCACAGCCATCTGGGAATCAGGGCTGATTTTTCAGCCTTTATTTATTTATTTACTTATAATAAATATTATTAAATTACAATAATTATGAATGTTTTAAGATTCTCAAGTTAATGTTAAATTTATATATTTTCTGGCTTTGTTAACAACCTTTAGGAGGAATGTGGATCATAATGTTTTAAAAAAATGAGCTTTTTATGGATATTAACTATCCTTTTACTTCAATAAATACTTTATTTAATAGTACAGTTTATGCTTTGCTTCATTTTTCTGTATGGAAGACCTATTAATATTAATTTGTTGCTTTTCCCTTGTACGAATAACAAAATAATTAAACTCTTGGTACTTGAAATATAACCAGTTTGTTAGTTTCCATCATAAAATCAACCAGTGCTTTTATCTCAAAAACCATATTCTTACACTACACATGGTCAGGAGAGATTCCCCTCTCTGGAGCTACAACTGCACATGGTGAACCAAAAGTTTAGTACCTTGCAGAAAAAAAAACATCTTCATTCATCAACTTCTTTTCTAGCTCTCAATTTGGTTTCTGTCAATGATGTTGCACTTTACGAATATAACTACCCTACATTACTATTAAAACTGTAAGTAGATCTATTAGTGCATTTAGTGCTAGGTTATGCAATGCTTATCTTACTTCAAACAAACTTGCATTCGGCGTATCGTCCACTTCATAGTACATCATTACTACTCAAGGTGTATACTGACATTGCTGTCTCGACTCGGGGGTGGCGCCAGGACCTGCCCGACGGAGGGGCTAAAGGCCCAGACGGGGGGAGGGGCTAGTGGAGCGAATCGAGTCTCACTTGGCTGGTGGGGGTCCAGGGGGCGAATCCCCCTGGAAGCGAATCCCCCTGGAAGCCACGGATATTTGATGAATTATGGCGAATTTTTATTACTTAAGGCATCGAGTTACTATAATATGACTTTATATAGGCTATGCTTTCTAATGTTGACATCAGCTTCAAAAACCAAAACATTTTGAATAAAGCAAGAAACAAAGAGTATGCAATGAAACCATCTACTTTATTTTCAAATCCTCATTCTTGAAAGTGAAATTCTATATTTTGGAAATTTTGAATGAAATCTGTCAACCACGTTGTCATGGTCGAGGTTGCTTCACCTATCACGATGTATTCCAACCATCATGAGGCTATCTAAATGAGCATTTGTCATAACAGAACGCAAATTATTTTTAATTAGTCTCATTGAATTATTATTATTATTATTATTGTTATTATTATTATTGGTATTGTGGTTGTTGTGATGAAAAGTTAACACAAACGATATGGTGTCTAAACGAATATTACATGTAAATATTTTTTTTTATTTGTTTGTTCCCCGACAAAATTTATCGTCTTCCCCGACGGGGTGGGGGGCTATGCTTCCCCGACGGGGGGAGGGGGGCTATAGCCCCCAGCCCCCCTCTGGCGCCACCCCTGTCTCGACTGATAAACATCGAGGTGTCTTGTTAGTCTTGTTCGATTTGTCATTGTTCGATTTGTCTTGTTCTATTAATCGTCTGAATATTTCTTTTGCATTTTCATGATATGCCTTAAAGTGGTTTGATTCCTATCTCACCAACCGGAGTTGTTGTGTCTGTGTCGATGATAATTACTCGGATCCACACTTATTAACGTTTGGGGTTCCACAAGGCTGGGTGTGGGTCCTGCTCTATTTAGCCTATACATCAGTCCGCTTGGAGACATCATCATTCATCATTTTATTAAATATCATTTTTATGCTGATGATCTGCAACTGTATCTGGATTTTGATCCTTCTCATCCTTCTTTTGTTGATCTGGCTTTGGATAGGCTTAGGTTATGTATCAAAGATATTAAGATTTGGATGGCTAAGAATAAGCTTAAACTTAATAATAACAAAACTGAATTCATTGTTTGTGCTTCCAAGAGGCACTTAGAGCTTGATCACGTTAGACAGGCTTCCCTGGCACTTGGAGAACTTAACATTCTACCCACTAACTCGGTCCGTAATCTTGGTGTCACATTAGATTCCACTCTGTCACTGTCTAATCAAGTTCAGTCAATTTTTAAATCGACCAAGTACCATATACGTAACTTATGGAGGATTCGCAAATTTATCGACTATGACACCTGTCATGCAGCAGTTCATGCACTTGTTTTATCTAGAATTGATTACTGCAATTCATTGTACTCTGAGTTGACTGTAACATTCTCTACAATTACAGAAGTTGCAGAATTCTGCTGCACGTCTAATTTTTAACATCCGATCCTCTCATACTCGCACATCACATCTTCTCCGTGAACTTCACTGGCTGCTATTTAGGGAAAGGGTTTATTTCAAATTAATGGTCCTTGCTTTCCAGTCACTGTCTGACCTATGCCCACAATATATCTCTGACTTTTTACTTGTACGTAAAAAAGCAAATTCGTACCAGATCAGCTTTGAATGTTAATTTCCATCAACATACCTTTAACCAGCGTACTGGTAACAAATCTTTTCCGTATGAGGCGCCACTCATCTGGAATAACCTTCCAGTGCACATTCGATCTTCACCATCTGTGGCTGTCTTTAGGCCTAAGACTCACCTCTTTAACTAATTACTGTATCCCATTTTTATTCTTATTTCATTTATTGTTGCATTATTTATTTATGATTCCAAACTTTGCCACTGCTTCTTTTGATTTGTTTACTTGTTCTGTGCTTGTGGGTTGTGAGGTGCCTGAATATGTGGGGTGCAGCGCTTCGTATCTGCAAAGAAAGGCGCTTAACAAATGTTTTGATTGGATTATCATTATTATTATTATTATTATTATTATTATTATTATTATTATTATTATTATTATTATTATTGTTATTATTATTATTATTATTATTTGTTTTTTAAGCATCAGAACCAGCAAAATATGTGTTACAGATACACAGGTTATGGGTTGCACAAATTTAAAGAAGGCGTTGGCCATTTTTATTCATGTTTCCGACACCGTGCATTCCTACAACACCACCCCAAGAGTTAAAATCACGGCCGATGATCTAAGATGATCTTTTCGCTGGTATGAATTTTTAAAATTGTAGAACTTAAGTGCTGGTAAAAAGAGTCCTTTTTCTTTCTTTATTATCTCCAAGTGTGGGTGCATATGCTGATATGATGGTAATTTATCCACTTTTAAGGAGAAAGCGAGTTGACATAAGGCGAGGTGAGAGATAGCCAGATGCTGGTCCATAGTTCACAGCAGTGTATTTCTTAAAGCAATACCACAGCCATGCATGGGTTTGTAGGGTTCTGGATAACCACTCCAAAGAAATGTGTAATTACATTCTTGTATTGATCCAGAACTACACAGCCACATCTCATTTAATGTTGCAATGCCGATGTTAAGTCTGGTTAACTCGCGATCAATAATAGCCGACTTCTTTGGTGTTGAAGACTTGTTTTGATACTGAGGGAACGCACATTCTAACAAGCGACGGTAACGTTAACCGAATTAGAAACTGGGACAGTCGCATGATGACGACCCGGTTGCACCTGTCCACAAACATGCAAACCTTTCCGGGTAACTGTAGATCCAGAACTCCTGGACTCTCGATTCACCATATCTGATTGATTTCTTGAACTTCTCATAGTGGTTAAGTGTTGACGTCAATAACACCTAAGCAGATCACAGATTTAGTGATGATTTCATAGACAGTTGCGTGCCCAGTACAGCTTGTTATCTCTGGACCTCCAAACATCAGTTCCGACGGAACACCGGGGGTGTGACGGCCGCGATGAGTGAAAGTAGCTCCGAAGACTTGGGCCCACTGCTGCTGCCCAGTGATGATGGTTCAGCTCCATATACTGGAAATGTAGTTTGACATCATACCCAGGATGTACCTGCTCACCATACCCTTGATGGCCTTGCCCTTAGACATGTCTGTCATGGGTGGCCCTGCCAGAAGCATATGCTTCCGCCAGCATAGCTCCAGGGACAAGGACAGTGAAGCAGGCGGATTTTTTTTTTTTTTTTTGTTTTTGGTTATAGATGACAAGAAACTATTGATTCAGTTACTTCAGAACCTATAACCAACAAACTCTAGACTGTAGGTAATCAGAGGAAACTATTGATTTAATTACCTACACAAGACCTAAAGTCAAAGACAACATGGATGCACCCTCGTTCTCGTAAATGGCACCAGCTAGACCATGTGATCGTGAGAAAGAAACAGCTTAGAGAGATTATCCACTGCCACAGTCTTCACTCAGCTGACTGTAACACAGATCATGCACTGGTGCGCTGCAGAATAACAATTACATCTAAAAGGTCATAAGGCAAAACCTAAACCGTTACCTTCCATTGATGTCACTAACACCAAGGCCATTCTACGAGTCGAAAAGTACCAGCAACTACTTGTTAGTCAGTTCAACAAGACTCCTAAACCAACTTCACCAGAAGGTGCGATTAAAGTGTTCCACTCAAAGGTTATGAAGCGTGCGATCTCCGCATTTGGTCGCCGCCAACGACAACAACCAGATTGGTTCAAAAAAGTGTAGATATACTTATACCAGCCCTCGAAGCAAAACGAAATGCCAGAAACAAGGTACGTATGACGAATACACTTTCAGCTAGAGCACTTTTTCGAACAGCAAGAAAAGAAGTTCAACGCCGCCTCACTCGGAAAGCGCTACATCGTTATTGGTCAAGGCTTAGTGGCCGTATCCAGTCATGTGCTGACACTGGTGACCTCCAAGGATTATATATTGGAATAGGGGAAGCCATTGGTCCATCTCCTAAGAAAACAGCACCTCTATTGTCAGCAGAAGGCATAGTTATTACTGACCCCAACCAACATTCAGAAAGGTGGATGGAACACTATAGTTCGATTTATTCTTACGACTTCATTGTGTCAGCAGAAGCGATTGAATCGTTGCCATTAATTTAAAAATTGTCGGATCTGGATAGGAACATTACCATTGCAGAAGTCAGAAAGGCAATTTGCTCCTTGAAAAACAACAAATCTTCGGGCACCGATGGATTACCTCATGAAGTTTTCAAGTTGGGTGGCAATGTGCTAGTAGAAAAGCTTCACAATGTTATTACTCTGTGTTGGAAAAATCGATGCATTCCAAGTGTGCTTAAAGATGCAAACATCATCATGCAAGGCAGTCATCAGGAATGCAATAATTACAGAGGAATTTCGCTGTTAAGCATTGCTGAAAAGGTATTTGCGAAGGTGCTCCTTCCTCGACTACAGATTCTCGCTAACCGTGTC